TTGTGTGCAGCTACTTTGTGCTTGGTGTTCATACAGTGTTTCCTAAATGTTAGTGTTCGACCTAAGGTGACACTGAAATATTTAGAATGGGAACAGTGTTTGAGCTCTTGGCCTTCTTAGGTAACAGGTTGGGAGGTGTTAACTGGCCCTAATTGTTTCCTCTCTGGAATTCTCCTGATTTTTGAGTGTTGCACTTTCTTTACTGTCCTGATTTCAGAGTTTTTAAATACTGGTAGCCAGATTTTGTTCATTTTCATGGTTTCTTCCTTTCTGTTGAACTTGTCCACATGCTTGTGGATTTCAATGGCTTCTCTATGTAGCCTGACATGGTAGTTGTTAGCATGGTCTAGCATTTCTGTGTTCTCAAATAATATGCTGTGTCCAGAGGGGTTCATCGGGTGCTCTGCTATGGCTGACTTCTCTGGTTGAGCTAGTCTTCATTGCCTTTCATATTCCTTGATTTGTGTTTGGGCAATGCTGCTGTTTTTGGTGGTCCCTATGTAGACTTGTCCACAGCTGTATGGTATATGGTAGACTCCTGCAGAGGTGAGAGAATCCCTCTTGTCCTTTGCTGAATCTAGCATTTGTTGGATTTTCTTAGTGGGGCTGTGGATAGTCCTATGTGGTCAGTGGTTCCCGCTATGCAGTAGTTCTCAACCTGAGGTCCCCAGATGTTTTTGGCCTTCATCTCCCAGAAATCCTAACAGCTGGTAAACTGGCTCGGATTTCTGGGAGTTGTAAGCCAAAAACATCTGGGGACCCTAGATTGAGTACCACTGCGCTAGAAACAATACCATACAAAACCTGACTGGCACAACCTGGGGATCACAGCCAGACAGTGAAGTCATTTGCCCTTTCGCTTTGCTACTCTGCTGCTGAGTACGCATGCTCAGTGTAGAACACATATCACCATGCCAAAACAGTGGATGTGGCTCTTAATGAGACATGCCACATTATCTCAGGCTGTCTGTGCCTTACACCGCTGGAGAAATTACACTGTCTAGCCGGTATTGTACCACCTGACATCCCCCAGGAAGTAGCAACCAATAGTGAGAGGACCAAGGCAGTGACATCTCCAGCCCACCCCCTGTCTGGGTATCAGCCAGCACACCAACAACTTAAATCAAGAAATAGTTTTCTAAGACCTACAAGGACACGCTGGAACACCTCAGCAAGCGAGAGTCCAAAAGTGGCAGGCTCAAACCCAGAACCTCATTCAGTGACTGATATCAAATGAGAGACTCCCTTCTGGGCACACAGAAAACTGCAAGGCGCTGAACAGGCTGCACTCTGGCACCACGAGATGCAGAGCCAACCTTAAGGAATGGGTCTACAAAGTGGAGTCCACGACATGTGAGTGTGGAGTAGAGCAAGCCACAGACCACCTACTGCAATGCAGTCTGAGCCCTGCCACATTCACGATGGAAGACCTTCTTATAGCAGCACCAGAGGCACTCCAAGTGGCCAGCCAAATTTTCAAACTTTGAGTATTTTTTAAAAAAAAATACAATACAACTGTTTTGGTTCGCTCCTAATACTATAAACAGCCAACACACACACACACACACATATAAAGCTTTGGATAGCAGAAGGAAGGATTAACATCCCTTTGGTGTTTCATTTGCTGTCTGTGGCCCTGTTCAAAAGATTTCCCTTCACTTTCTGTCCCTGTCAGACTTGGATTTTGACAAATTTGACTTATTGTGGAAACAAGGATGGGTGAGAAAGCTTCAGTGGAGCCCCCTTCCCCGCATGATAACTCTTCCAGGAGTGAGTTTCCCTTCCCAGGGAAGAAGATTTCTCCTGTTGCCTCACTTGGAACTATGAGTCGTTCGTAACTGGGGGACTGCCTGTGCAGCCCATGGGACACCCAGTGAGGAATTCCCGCGCTCCAGGTGAGGAGGGGCGGGTCTTCGTGTCCAAAAGGCGTGGTTTTCCACCCAATTTCCCACCTTGTCCCCAGATGCCTGTGGCTTCCCTCCGGTCGAGTTTCCCGGACTAATAAACAGGGGCGAAGTTCGGAGAGGGAGGGTGTGGGGAGAAGTCCTGTTCTTTTTGCCCGGGAGGGACCTCTCGTCGGCGGCGGGGGTCTCCCTTTGGAGGCAATTGGGGGGGGGGGGCGAGGGCGCTTCTGCGATGCCCGGCGGGCGGGCGGGCGGCTTCCACCAAAGCGCGGTGTTGGGTTACAGCAGCAAGAAAATGCAAGCCGAAGATGCCGGCCCGACTTCAGAAGGCTTCTCCGTTGCTTTGCCCCGGAATCCGGGGGACGTGTCGAGCCACTGACTTCAGGCGAGAGTTATGCGCAGGATCCTCCGTTCTCGTGTGAGGGCTGGAGGAGAAAGAGGGAGGGAAGGAGAGGAGGGAGAAAGAGGGGGGGAGGGAAGGAGGGAGAGAGGGAGGGAGGGAGGGAGAAAGAGAGGAAGAGGAAGAGAATGGAGGAGGGAAGGGGAGGGAGAGAGGGAGGGAGGGAGAGAGGAAAGAAAAAAGAGGGAGGGAAAGTATGAGAAAGGTGCAGGGATGGAGGAGAGAAAGAGATGAGGGAAAGAGAGGGATAAGCGAGAGGTACACCTGCTCTCTGTGCGTGAGGGGCACGTCAAGTGCGACACTACTATAGCTGGAGGAGACTTTGATTAGAGCATAGTCACATCCCTCTGATTGTGGCAATTAGTAGAGCCCTCACTCTAGGGGATAGGCGTGGATGACTGCCCTACAGAGGGGGCACGTAGAGGATCACAGCGAGAGACGGATAGATGGACGCGTCTCCCTAACGCCAGGAGGGGGGGGGGGATCAAATTCGGGTACGAAGACTCTGTATATCCGACTGCACAGATAGAAATGTGACTGTCATGCGTTCGTTGGAAGATAATCCCGCTAAGCGCTCCAGAGGCTCATAAAGTGGACCAGTCGTTATCACAAATAGAAGTTGATAAAAGCATTCGCCAGTTGATCAGGTATGATTGGATCATGTTACAGGGATGGATCGATCCTTAGAAGTCGTGCTCATATAAGTAAATGGCCTAAAGACGCGTGGCGCGAATTGAAGTAAGCGTACGTGGCGCTTTGTGAGACAAGGGGAGAGGGAGACAGAGAAAGGAAGGAAGGAAAGCAGGGAGAGAGGGAGGAAGAAAGGGGAAGAGATGGAGGGAGGGAGAAAGAGAAGGAGAGGGAGGGAGATGGGTTAAGTAGGGAGAAAGAGAGAGGGAGGAAGAAATAGAAGGAAGAGGAAGAGATGGAGAGAGTGGGAGAGAGGGAGAAAGAGAAAGGGAGGAAGGAAAGTCGGGAGAAAGCGAGAGGAAGAAAGAGAAAGGAAGGTAGGGAGGAAAAGAGAGAAAGGAAGGAAGAGAGGAAGAGGTGGAGGGAGTGGGAGAGAAGGAGAAAGGGAGAGGGAGGGGAAAAGTAGGGAGAAAGAGAGGAAGAAAGAGAGGAAGAGGAATAGATGGAGGGAGAAGGAGAGGAAGGGGTTAAGTAGGGAGGAAGAGAATGAGGAAGATATAAGGAGGGGAGATCAGGTTGGTACCCAGGGGAGAGAGGAGAGAGAAATAATTCTGCCCTTCACAGTAGTCTCAAGGGATAGGGAGTGAAGAGATAGAAGAAGAAGCGAAGGAAAAGGGAGGGAGAAGGAAGGGATAAAAGGAGGAAAGAAGAGAGGAAGGAAAGAAAAGAGAAAGAAAAACATAATAGCATCTGAGGGGGGGGTTGGGGGGGGAGGGTAGACGATGAGGGGGAAGGTGTAGACATTTGCAATGGGGTTTCAAGCAGGGGTAGGAAGGAGTTATAGTAGAGATGGAGGAACGTAGGAGTGAGTATGGGAGTGTTTTGGATGTTGGTGTGAATGGGGAGAGATGGGTAGGGTGAGAAGTATTAGTAAGAAAGAGAAGGTAGAGTAAAAAGAGAGGAGGAGGACTGATGGAGGGTAAGAAGTAGAAGGAGGGTTTGAAGTAGGGAGTGAGTGAGGGAGAACGAAAATAGAAGGAGTAAGGATTTATGAGGAAGTGGGGATTATGGATGACACTTACGAACTTGTGCTTGCGTCCCTGAGATACAGCTGTGCACTGACATTGCAATGTCCGACTATCCTCTTCTTTCTTGGATTGTATCACCTTTCATCGTTCTTCTTCCTCTCGCTTGATTGTGACGGAAGAAGGGAGGTGAATGGACTGAGAAATAGTAGGAGGCGGAGAGGAGAGACCCCGCCTCACGTTAAGCTCTGTTTGTATGTGTTTATGTGCGATGATGGGGCTAAACGAACTGAGCGCGTTGTTGGCTCCTCGAGGCAGAATCACTAGCTAATTCCGTAAGATTGAACGTGTGCAGAAGGCAGTGGTCACCCGTGACAGGACATGTGAGTCCCTAATAACTGATGGGCGGACCTCCGGCCCCGCTTCTCCGCCAAAGAGACCCCACCAGGAGCCGGAGCGGTGTGTGTGTGGAAGCCTGCGTCGGGTTTTCGGGGGGACGGTCCGCCAGCCGCCCACTTCCGCCCCCTGGCGAGATCCCTGCGTGGGATCCAGGGCTTCCTTCTCCGCGTCTCCCTTCCCTCTTGCCTCCTTTCCCTTTCTTTGAGAATTTGACAGAGTGACAAGAAGCGGAGAGAGAGAGAGAGAGGCGGGAGCGGGGTGGTGATGAGGGGAGATTAAAAGCCAAGCGAAGTCTGGACAGTCGAGTGGATTTGCCTCTTGGGGAGCCTCCTGTCGCTCTCTCTGTGGATCTATCTATCCCTGACCCTGACCGAGAGGTCCCTGCAGGACGTCGAGCTTCGCACGGACGACCAGGCTCAACCCATCGGCGCCAACCTTCCTCTCTGCGGGCGTCGCCCCCTCCCGGACCCGCCCGCTGGCGCCGCCGGAGCCCCCCCGATGCCTCCATCGGACCCCCCTCCGCCTTGGTTGATGGGCGCCCGCCCCCTCCCTCCCCCGGCTGCTCCCCAGGGGCGCCCCCACAAGCAGGTCCCCTCCCGGGAGGGCGGCACAGACCCCCGAGGACAGGCTGCCTGAGACGCCCCTTCCCGCCGCCGCCGCTGCTGCTTCTCTCTTGAGCTCGACGGTCCACAGAGCAGGAGGAGGAGAGGCACCTGCGACCCCTTTGCCTGTTGGCTCGCCCACCCAGCGGAGCGGGGGAAGAGGAGGGGAGGGAGCCCGTCGTGTCCCGGTCCGGGAGGCCGGCGTTCATGTCGCCCCGGGGTCTGGAGAGGCCAGAGCCAAGGTAAGGACCGGAGGGGCTCCCGGGAGGGAGGGAGGCCGGCCCCTGAATAGACTTCGTGGAAGGACCCTCGCCGTGAGTTGGGTTGGGACTTGCTTCTGGAGCTGGGGTTTGGGAGCAGAGGGTGCGAAATTGGGGGAAACGATGACTTGGGTATGCAGATGATTCCTGGGTGTGGGAGCCGACAGCCGCTGTAGAGTCGAGGCAGTTATCCCACAAGGTCAGCCTCGAGGAGACATGGGCCAACTTGGGCCCTCCCTCCTAGTGTTTTGGACTTCAACTCCCACCATTCCTCACAGCCTCAGGCCCCTTCCTTTTCCCCCTCAGCCGCTTAAGAAAAGGAGGTGGGAGTTGAAGTCCAAAACACCTGAAAAGAGGACCCAAGTTGGCCCATGCCTGGCAGGGAACCATGACAGTTCAAGTGTTGGAAAATGCACTAATTCCTCAGTGTAGATGCACCCAGAGATGGGGCATGATTCCTGAAAGAAAAGGACCAATCCCTGCCTGAATCCGGACTAGTACGTTTCCCAAATAGTTTCCCAATTCGGTCTCATCTCTTCCTCCTCCTCTTCTCCCTCGACTCTTTTGCCCATTTTGGTTGAGCAGCTTTGTCACCCTTTTTTGCCAAGGGATTGTTCGGGTTCAAGAGTCCCCTTTCTCCCCGCAACAGCCTTGAAACCGGCAATAAAGGTGCGCCTACACTCAGAAGTGGCCCTATGTAATTTTCAACGGTAAGCAAACAGTATTTTGGCACCCCCCCCCCCCCCAACCAATCATTGATATATATATTCTGTTCGTCGTGGGAGTTCTGTGTGCCATATTTGGTTCAATTTCATCATTGGTGGAGTTCAGAATGCTCTTTGATTGTAGGTTAACTATACATCCCAGTAACGGACAAAGGTGACAAAGGTGCTCAACCAAAATGGGCAAAAGAGTCGAGGGAGAAGAGGAGGAGGAAGAGATGAGACCGAATTGGGAAACTATTTGGGAAACGTACTAGTCCGGATTCAGGCAGGGATTGGTCCTTTTCTTTCAGGAATCATGCCCCATCTCTGGGTGCATCTACACTGCGGAATTAGTGCATTTTCCAACACTTGAATTGTCATGGTTCTATGCCAGACAACTCGCATATGTCAAGGTCTATTTTCCCCCAAGAGCGCCTCAAGAGTGCCCCTGGGCAAAATCAACTATACTGCAAATGCTTACTTTGCGTAATGGGTTGCCGAGGCTTCCCCCGGACTGCTAGGGCTGTTGTGAGCCGAGGGGGCGCTCCTCAAGTGGCGGTCGAGGGGCATTTACAGAGGCGCCTCTGCACCCCTGGGAAAAATAAGTGTACTGCGACCGCTTACTTTGCGTAATGTACGAGCCGCCCCTGCCTACACTGTCACCTTAATGCAGCTTGGTACCGCGCTGACTGCCATGGTTCAATGCTTTGGGGTCCTGGGAATGTCTGGGTTCTTTCTCCCACCCTGGACATTCCACAGATATATAAACAGAAAGGAAGAAACCATGAAAATGAACACAATCTGGCTACCAGTATTAAAAGAAACCCTAAAATCATATCAGTACATAAAGAACAACACTCAAAAACAGGGGAATTCCTGACAAGAAACAATCAGGGACAGCTCATCACCTCCCAACAAAGGATTCCCCCAGGCAGTAAGAAGCCAGATCTTGAAACTGCTAGGCCATTAAATCCTAATCAAGGTGGTCAATAGCAACATTCACACCTAGCTCCAACAGAAAAGAGTTATTTCTCCAACCCTGGAAATTCTACAGTTATATAAACCCAATTTTCCTAGACCTCACAACCTCTGAGGATGCCTGCCATAGATGCAGGTGAAACGTCAGGAGAGAATGCTTCTAGAACATGGCTATACAGCCCGAAAGACCTACAACAACCCAGTGATTCCGGCCATGAAAGCCTTTGACAATACATCCTGGGAATGGTTTTGCCAAGCCTTCTCTGCCAAAGACTGCTGATACCTCCCTAAACTGTAACTCCCGTGGCATAGAGCAGAAGTCTGTCAACACTGCCATATAATCCAGTTCAAATCAAATAATCTTGATTCAGAAATTGGCAGTGTAGATGGGGTCCAATCCTACTTGCTATGGGCAACCTTTCATAGGAAAGGATTGGCAAAAGCACCTCCCAGCATTCCTTGGCTAGGAGAAACCTTGTTAAGTTCATGGGTTGTTGTTGCCATAAGTCAACATTGAATCCTAGAGTTGGAAGAGACCTTGTGGGCCATTCAGTCCAACCCCATTCTGCCAAGAAGCAGGAAAATTACCTTCAAAGCACCCCTGACAGATGGCCATCCAACCTTTGCTTAAAAGCCTCCACCACACTCCGGGGCAGAGAGTTCCACTGCTGAACATCTCTCACAGTCAGGAAGTTCTTCCTCATGTTCAGGTGGAATCTCCTTTTTTTTGTTATTTGAAGCCATTGTTCCACGTCCTAGTCTCCAAAACAAGCTTGCTCCCTCCTCCCTATGACTTCCCTTCACATCTTGATCTATGGTTGCCTCTCAGCCTTCTCTTCTGCAAGGCTAAACATGCCCAGCTCTTTAAGCCGCTCCTCATAGGGCTTGTTCTCCAGACCCTTGAAGGCACATAAGTACACTTTGAAACCAGAGGATTCTCTGAACAGAAATAAATGACTCATTTGGGTGTTTGTCTTAGCTCCTCTTCTAAGTGAAAATAAGCCCAGGTCCTGCTGGCTAGGGGATTCTGGGAATTGGAGCCCAGCAAAAACAAACTTTCTGAAGTCCTGGGATGTAAAAATCCTGAGACTTTAGGAAGGGCAGGCTAAGGAGGGGGTTCATCACCCTATTAGTTTATGTTGCATTTCTGGAGGCCGAGAAAAATACCTGAAAGTCTACTTCAGGTGCATATGCACTGTGGAATTAATTCAGTTTGACACCACTTTAACATCCACCGCTTGCCCAATGCTAAGGAATTTCTTGGTGGGAAGTTCCTTAGCATTGGGTGTTGTGGTTTTACAAGTAGTGCTGGGGCTAACCAATCTACAACACCCATGATTCCATACCATTCAGCCATGGCAGGTAAAGTGGCATCGAACTGCGTTAATTCTGCATTGTAGTCACACCAACACCACAATTCAGTGGGTTGTCCATGCAGTTGCCCCATTAGCTGGCTCCATGTTTTGAATATAATATAAACCATACCTACAAATCTTCCATGAAGATTTTTGAGAGTGGTGCTCCATCTTCATTATTGACTTCAGTATACATATAGCCTCATGACTCTGCTTACTTTGTGTATGATTTGTCTCATTGTATGTATCCCTGAAGCCTATATACAGTGGTACCCTTGTTCAGACCTGGAACTGTTACATTTGAGAGCGGTTGCTCCTTTTGATTTTGTTTTGGGCCACTGAATTGAGCTATGTACTCGGGATTTTGTTAAATAGCATACTGTATGCTCTTTTGACATTATATTTTGACATTACACATAGATTGTTTTTTGTTTGTGCTGATACCCTACAAGTACTCTGGGATATTGTATAGTTTTCCTGGGGGAAAGCATGAAGTTTTTGAAGAATCCTGCAGACAGCATGAACCCCTAACTTCTCCATAATCTTGTTTTGTTTTTTGCTTTTTGTGCTCAACTGGCTGTACACACCTGCCTAGCTCTCCTTCTGCTTTTATGCACATGCACAAAAGAGCACGGGGAAACAATTGGGTTGAATTTGAAAGGTATCTCTGTGGTTATGATGAGACTTCAAATGCACAGGGCAGAGGCATCCACTTTCTGTTTAATAGCAAAGGGAGTGAGTGGTTGGTCTCGACTGCCCTCTAGCGACAGGTTCAATATAGCAGCTTCAAGAGGGTAAATAATATTAAGCAAGCCTACAGTAATCTATTGGCAAGTATTATTATTATTAGCTTTATTTATACCCCGCTAACATCTCCCAAAGGACTCGGTGCGGCTTACAAGAGGCCAAGGCCCAACACATCAATAAAACAACAGCATAACAAATACAACAATAAATAAACTCATAAAGCAAAGCAATAAACATTAAAACAATAACAATAAGCATTAGACAGTAACACCACGACGCATTTCAAAACTAAGGGCCAAATGTAATGAATAAAATTTAATTTAAAAAAAATGCTGGACATGACAGGTGAAATGGATAGGTTTTTGGAGATAGGTACGGTGTGCAGACAATCTTAAATCTCTAGTAGAGTGCATTTGAGACATGATGCTAGGAGTTTCCTATTCTGGGAAGGCACATTGGAACAGCCACGTCTTCAAGCTCTTCCTAAAGACTGCCAACGTTGGGACTTGTCTGATGTCCTTGGGGAGAGAGTTCCAGAGTCGGGGGGCTACCACAGAGAAGGCCCTGTCCCTCGTCCCCACCAAACGCGCTTGCGACGCAGGTGGGATCGTGAGCAGGGCCTCTCCAGATGATCGGAGAGATTGTGCGGGTTTGTATACGGAGATGCGGTCACGCAGGTAGGGGGGTCCCAAACCGTATTTGGTGTATGCTTTGTGCAGAAGGGATTTTCAGAGTGCTGGCCCAAGGTGTGCTGTGCAGGCACAATTTGTATTATGCTTTCAAGTCACCTGTCCATTATGGCAATCTTATGGATTTCATAGGATTTTCCGTAGGTGAGGAATACTCAGAGGTGGCTTGCCACAAATCTCTGGAAATTAGATTTGTTGCTGGTCCCCCATCCACGTACTAACCAGAGCAGACCCTGCTTAGCTACCAAGATCAGACAGGATCTAATGCCTTTAGGGTATTATTTAGTCCTTTGGGTTTTAGAGCCTTTGCAGATGGAAACCAGGATAGATATAGCCAAGCAGCATCAGAGTAGTCAAGGTGGCATACGTCACTAATGAGGAAGAACACACAGATGAGGAATGGCTCTACATGAGGCATGGGCAAACTTGGGCCCTCCAGGTGTTTTGGACTTCAACTCCCACAATCCCTAACAGCCCCAGGCCCCTTCCTTTTCCCCTGAGACTGTTAG